TAAATCAGAGAAGACAAATAAGTTGTAACTACTGTAGTGCCTCAAAATTCTCACAGTCTCCATCACAAGCTTTCTACTGATGAAAAGTAGTGAGCCAGACATATTTCCACAGAAAATCTTGGTGGGCCTGTCCAACAGCAGCCAGAAAAGCAAGATGCCTCTTCAGAACATGGGACAGCTGTGGTTACAGTGGGATTACGGACAATGACAGACAAAGTGAAGACAAGTACAAGCAGTGCAAGAAAAATGAGACCCAGTCCTGAGTCCAGAAACTGTTCAGTGTCCCTCTGCCTTCTGCTGGCTGCGAGATGGTCTGGAGATTTCTAGAAGTCTTATTCCATGTGCCCCACTCCCGCTGTAGGAGCAAAGAGCCATTTCCAGCTACTTATAAACCCAGCATAGTGGGAAAAATAAATCATGTTTTGGGGTTGTTATTCTCTAAAGAAAACAAGTGGCCTAACCCTGTACATACAGTCACGACACAGGAGTTAGGCTGAAGCATGTGCTGAGGGAGGAGATGAGGATCTGGCTTGCACAGCTGCCTTTGAGCAGGGTCAAGACAATCTCACACAGGGCACAACTCCGTTAGTTTTGTTCTGGTCTTTCTTTCTTTCTTTTTTTTTTTCTTTTTAAGAGCATTAGCTCTTTTCTAAAAACGATATTCTGCTGTGAGTGGGAAATGAGAACAGGCCAGTCCAAAGGCAAAGAGTGCAATGCATCGGCTGCAAGCCTAAATAAATACCGAGGTCTGAAGATGCCTGGCTCAATTTTGTTTTACAGAGTTTCATTTCATGAATCTTTCCCTTTCATTGTTAACCACTCACAGCTGTGATACAATGAATAATAATAATAATAAAAGAAATGTATTCATTATTCATAATAAAAGTTCATATTTCTTGTAGAAATGATATAATTGGTGATCAGGAAGTACAATTCTCCTAAAAGTTACCAGGGCTTTTTAAGTATAAGCACAGTCCCCACATGCCCTGTGTTCAGGGGGACGTGTTTGTTCAGCCTTGGTGGTGGGCTGATTTGGTGTAGCAGAAATGCTAACTCATGGCCCGAAGCAGTGATTGAGCACCTGGTGGGAAGGCAGGGCCAACTCAGGGAGCTCAGGTGCATGCAATGCAATGCGATGCAATGCAGCTGAGCGACCAGAAGGGGTGGAGCCAGGATCCACCTCTTCCCAGACCTCTTTAAAGGCTGGTAGGAGAGACACAGGAAGCTCACTGAAGACCCCTGCCTACGTGAGGCCTTCTGAAGGTAAGCATTTCATTTATTTCTGCATCTACGGCTGCTGTTTTTGGGCCTGTCCTCCACTGATGCAGCTAAAGGTTTTGCGATACTGCTATTATTGTTGTATTTTCCATAGTGTTATAGATTTACAGGTGTCCTCTGTCATCCTGCAGCAACAGCTTTCAATGCTATGGAATTAGCATTCCTTGACTGTGCCCCATTGAGTGTGATGTGTGTTTCCATGAGGATGCAGCTAGGGCTTGAGTTAAAGCATAGGGAAGTTGAAGCTTTGGGGAATCTGGCATGTGAAATGTTCCTGGGTTTCTTTGACAATGAAAATAATGAATCTCTTTGCCATATTCCCCAGGTGTTTTCCTAGATGTCTACTAGTTAGCCCCTTGCTTCCTGCCTGCAATTAGCACTTACATTGTTGCAAAGGGAGATGAAATTCACTCTCTGCCATTCTCCTTCAGAAATTTCTCACACCTTTCCTGCTGGGTGGGAATATGAGCTGCGGGTAAGGGGAAATTCTAGTAGTGGAATTAAATTTGCAAGCAATCCTATCCCCCCATGTCTCTTCTATTAGATATTGGTCCTCATCATGGTGTGTGAGCACGGAAGCCCACAAACAGGATTTCTTTCAGCAAAGACCCAAATTTTCATGACTTTGTTCTGCCCCTGGAATTATAGAGGCACAAATTGGTCTACATGCATTACACACAGGGTAACTGCAGCTGGATAAGTGCCTGCTATTTTGGTGAAGGAGAAGGGTGAGTGTAAAGCTGGGAGTACAAGACCACTGACCTTAATTAGAGAAGATAAAGAATGTTGAAACATGATTCCTATGAAAACCAAGGAAGGTCTTTATCGCCGAGTGTTTCCACATGGATGCCACTGAGAAGAGGTCAAGTGTTTTCTATATACTTTAAGTAAACAGCAGATTGAGTTCATAGTCTGGACTGGATTTGAACAGCCTCTGTATTCTGCAACATCATAATTGAGTCTTATGTACTTAAGATTTGATTGATATCCACCAACATTATTACCTGAGATCTGCCAGGAAACACAGAGGCTATTAAGAGCTTGCTAGTGAAGCTATGCCTAGTGTCATATATGGCTAACCCCAGGCTGGGACCGGGCCTTGGGCTCTGACTTTAGCAGAGGAAGAACGATGGTTTCTCTTAAGAGTTGCTGTTGTTGGCTTTTTCTGATAATATATATCTTCAAATCTTTCCTGTCATGTAAAAAAATGCCCATAATCTGCAAAATTAAACTTGTTGAATGAGAAATGAGTTGCATGTCAGGAACAGAATGCTTCAAATAAGGCAGTTTCATTATGTGCCACTAATGAAGCATATAATGCCATGTTAAGATATCAGGCAAAAAATTCTTGTGTTCTTCCTTGCAGTTATGCAGGCTGAAGGTTAAGACAACTGAATGCAGTGGCTTTGTATCAAAACCAACTCAGTCTCACTACCTGGAAATGGGATGACAATTGAATCACAAATTGCAGTCTTATATCTGCAGATTTAGCTCTAGTATCACTGCCACCTATTCTTATGTTATCAGGTAACAGCATTCATCACAGATGCTCCACATTCCCTTCTTGTCTTCACTAGAAGTCCTGTTTGCAGATAGGGAAAAGAAGTCACAGAGCAATGATCCAAGTCCACACAACCCAGTGGCAGACCATCCTGAGCCCCCAGTTCAACCCAGCAGACCTAATAACTTCTACAGCTATTACAAGCAGGAAGAAAGGGCAGGAGAGTGCTTAGGGCCTAACTAGAAACAGATGAGTCACTGGAAGTATCCCTATCCTTCACATGAGGACTGGAAGTATTGGTGCCCAAATTATTTAAGTGTATTGCTGGGAGGAGGGAATGAGGCTTGAAACATGGGAACTTCATTCTCTCAACTTTCAAGCTGAGCAATAAAGGTTTAGATGCAGCCAAAGCAGAAAATCCCTCTTTCCTGGTTTGCATCTGCTTGTTAAAAGGAAAAAGAAAGGGCAGCTGATTTGTGAGTGCTTTCCTACTAGAACTGTAGATTTGAAAGCTGTGCCCTTGATTAATGTGGGGAATGCAATTGCATGTGCCATTAATTATTACTGATAAACCAAAGTAGTGATAGTCAAAGTCTCCTGCTACTGAGATCAGGTTCTGTGGAAAAAGAAAAACCCAGGAGCCTCCAGCCTATCAGTATTTTTTTTTTGTTTGTTTTTTGGTGAAATGTCTGAATTGCAAGTCTCCAAACTTGGTGTGTTCTCCAAGTACGTGATATCTATAGGTGCAGATCAAGAGAGCTGAAGCTTATCTACACAGACAGCAAAAAGCAGCTTACTGTCCCATTAGCATGTGACCAGCCCCAATTATGGCTTCTTCCCCATGACATCAGTATGCAATGGAGGATCTCACTTTTTTTTTTTTTTTCCTCTTGCCAGAGGCAAGTGAATACATTATCCAGCAGTGAGGTGTGGGGCGGGCGGATGTGTAACTCTGGGGTGATTTGGATTCCACACTCGTGTGGGGGTGTGAGCCAACCTCAGAAGTCATTTGCACTGATGCTGACACATACAGCATCCCTCAGAGATCCGTCTATCAAACTGCAACATGCTATGCAGAAAAATTAGATTACTCATGCTACAATAAAGAAGGGAAGATGACAATGATGGAGGGAAAAGAACTTCAAAATCTAACAGCTATTTATGAAATGAGCATAAATCCTAACAATGGAGAAGTATCCTAGGGACTTATTTATTTTAGCTCTTGCAAACCATTTCAAGGAGAGTGAGTTGGAAAGATCCTATTAATTCTGACACTGCCTTTGGAGGAAAAAAAAGAACAAAAAAAAAAACCAAAAAAAACCACTTCATCACGATTGTCACATTACAGTTATTGTGAAATACCATCTTAAGTACTCATTATGATTTTGCTGCTGGTCTTGCTGCTCTCAGCAGCAGGGTTTCCTCTGGATTTGGTAAGTGCAGGATCAGGCCCTCTCTCTTTCTCTCTATGAATTGCAAATGGACTGCTCGTGTGCCAGCTGAGTAACTAGGCAAAGTTCACTGTGCTCAGTTCAAAGATGCAAGATGAAGCTCAGGGCATTTCACTCACAGTATTTGCAGAGTTCAGGTCTACAAAAGTGTTAAAGTGGTTTAATACAAAATCCATAAGACAAACGTTATGCAGCTATGTGTGAAGCCCTGTCCAATAAAATCCATTTCTTTGGGAAAAAATACAAAGTAGTAAAACATATTTTGTGTAAAAAAGAAAAGGCTATGTGAAGCTTAGGAAAATCCTATAAATCAGAATGCTGTACAGCTTCAGGAAAGGAGATTTAAAATAAATCTGTGGAAGAATATACACAGACATACACACAGATAGCTGGAAATGGATCCGGACAAGTGCTGAGGTTAGAACTTCTCAGATAGCACTGTGGGACTAGTTTTACAATACCAGAGAATGGTGAGGTTTGGCTGAATGCTGATTTTTTTCATTGTAGTAATAACTAACCTATGTTGGGGTTTCTATGGTATTTGCTCCTTGAGTTATTCCCCAGGAATGCTATCTAGGAAAGGATAATTGAAACTTTTAACTCCTGCCTGCCCTGGATCATCCATTAGCCATGCTGCTGTCAGCTGCAAATTGTTTTACTACTGTTATTATTTCTGGAGGAGCCAGTTGTTGTACGTTGGCTTGATTTGTCAAGCAATTCCAGCCATTTCCTGTGGGGTTTATTACCCTGTTTTGGTTGTCTCTTCCCAGAGTTAAGTTGTGGTTCCTGTCCAACCCAGAAGAAGAGCTACATTTGGTGGCCCTGCATCTCATGTAGCCCCTGTGCAGCTGCTGGCCTGTTGTCCAGGACAAGGAACTGCCATGTGGTACGTTTAGCTTTCCTTGCTCATTCTTTGAGTGTGTGACACTATTAAACTCTGGTGTAGATCACCCAAGCTGTGTGATTTAAGCCTGCCTGGTAGTTTTGGAGGGCTTTTTCTGGCTTTGGCTGCTTAATGCAGACATGCAATTTCAATGTGACCACACATAGTGGAAGTACATGGAATTATAGGTCTTCTTAAAATTGTCAGGAGCAAATATGATCAGATCTGGTTCTTGATCTCATTACTGTCTGAAAGATTTGACTGGCATTTTTAAATGCCATGATTTATGTTCTTCACCTTAACAGGCCTCGGTAGTGTAAACCCAGTAACTCTATTACTCTCCAGGGCAACTTCTAGGAATCTGATTGGAGAATTTACACAACGCTGTGTCTATAAGAAAATATTAACATGGATTAAGACAAGTTGATAGATATTAAACTAGGCTATAGAATGAAAACCACTGAGAATAAATCAAATAACTTTGCCTAACTACAGAAAGTATTTGTAAAGCCCTGTAAGGTTTCCATTTCCTAAAGCCACCTGCCATCTCAAATGCCCATAATCAGTCACAGATGTTGGATACCAACCTGCTAACCTTATGGCTTTGAGAGAAAATATTGCACTTTTGTAAACTCATTCTTGGGTGTTTCCTTTATTTCTTAAAAAAACCTAAACTTTCATCCCTTATTTTCCACGTAAATGTAATGAGTTATATCAACTCTGACACTTGGTTCTGCTTAGCCTTCCAGTTCTGGTTAGCTGCTTTCCTACCTGGCTCTTCAGATATTTGAAGATCTCAGGTTGTTGTTGTTTTAATTGTTAGGGTACTTTTTGACTTTACAACTCACGATTCCCATTCTGGCAGTGAAGAATCCAACAAGATGCAAAATGTACATCTTTTCTGTAACCATTTGCTAATGGAGAAGTGCATATTTTTCTTTTCTCAACTAGTGTTTGTCTCCACAATGAAGATATATCAAGTACTGAGCTTTTATGAAGTACTCTGGAAACGGGGGGGGAAAAAAAAAAGTAGCAAAAAATAATGAAAATATAAAATCCACTATGAAACAAGAGATGTTTTAGCACCTATTGGAATCAAAAGAAAGAATTTCATAGATTGGGAAAGATACCAAAAGAGGCCAAGCTGCCAAAGACCGTTAGATGCTGTTAGGATATATTGATATTTGAGCCCAATGGTGGGTTTGGCTTGGCTGAGGAAGGAGGAATTATTCCACTTCAGCTTGTGAAGACAGACTGGGAGTGGGAGTTGTAACGGAGGTAGGAAGCAGACTGGATTTTATTAGACTTCCATCATCTTTAAGAGATCCCTAACCAGATCAGGTTTCAGCCTCTCCCTCCACTCTTGTGTCAACCTTTGGTTCTGTTTTTGCTGGAGGATAAGTTTCATTATATTAATAAGCAGCACAAGTGGTTCCAATTGTGGAAGAACCACTCTGAGCTGTCAGAAATGATCAGAGGAGAAATTTCAACCTTTCCATGATCGCAGCCTCTTCTTCTGGTGCCTCAACTCAGTGCTTCCCCAGCGCACTTCACATTGTTTAGCAACCACGACAATAATAAAAGGTACACTTACATTTTGGTGAGAATAGATTATCTTGAGGGACTTTATTCTCTGATCATGTAGTGCATCAGTGCTCATGAACCAGATGTTACTGGGAATAACTAGGCTAACATCCAATCTGCTGTCTGGAAGACCAGATCTGGGGACATACTGCTATGAAATTATACATCTTCAATTTTCTACTGCAGTCAAATTTCAAACGCAAACATCTTTAATTATGCCACTATAACAATGAGTCTGCATTGTTTTTTAAATTGCTAATATGGAAATAAGTAGGAAAAACTCAGAAAAAGTACCCCAAAAGCTGAGGCTGTTTGGTCTGTTTGGTCCTTGCTGCTTACCAGCCATAATGCTCAGCATTTGTAATCCTCAAAGCATCCGCATGAGGGAAAGCATTTTAGGTAGACAGAGAAGATAAGGAATCCCTGTGAGGGTGGAAGTACTACCAGCTTAATATTGCAGATAGGAAAGTGGCACAAACATGAAGTATTAAATTCCTCTGAGCCCAAAAGAGCGGCCAGTAGAGAGGAGCAGGTCTGACTCAGAGAATGCCCCCTAACCATTAAGGCCATCCTCAGGTGAGCAGAAGGAGGCAGCTGTGGAACAGGCATCCTCAGGTTGTGCCTCTGAAGCTGCTCAGGCTTTGTGCAGCACCATGTGCATGCCCTGCAGTTTCCCTCAGGTTGCAAGGCTAGGCTCACAGATCTACCCTGAAATAACTGAGAATCGCACTCCATCTCAACAGGTTTCCCCACTGCCCAGGGAGGATCTGAGTGAAGTTTAGTTTTCAAATTAAACTCACCTGGGACTAGTCACTGAAATGTCATCCATGAGATAGAACAAAAAAAAAAAAAAGGGAGAAATGTAAAAGGAAATCTTTGTAGCCAGGACTACCTGACTCTCCCACAGTAGGAGACATGAGAATACTGTTTCATGTCATGGAGATGTAGTTAAAATGCAGACTGCATATCCTTGTTCTCAGAATTTGAGAGGTGTGGTTTATGCATGTGGACAAGCCATCGTTCCTCCCTTTGATCTATCACTTGATGTAGAGGAAAGGCTTTTATGTGTTAGTCCCATATAATGGATAATTTAGTCTGAAACCATTATAAAAAGTATTACACTTTGAGTACATATGCTTCAATTATTCTTGAAAGTACATGGAAATATTTTATGACATTCACATATAATTCAAGTTGGTTTTTTTTTTTTCTTTTTAAACCAAACTAAAACCAGAACTTTTGTTTATCATCCAAACAAATTTGTTCTCCTGAGGTAAGTTTGCAAGTATTTTGAAAGACTTCTGCCCTTTTATGGAATACATTTTAAGGTAAAAATGTAACCACTGTCTTTAGATGTTAAAGAAGAAAAATGTTAGAGTCATCATTCACTGAAATTACTACTGGTACATATTGCTTTTTAGCTGCCTATATTTAATCTGTTTATGAATAAAATTACTTACAATGAAAAGCAATAAATACAGACTTAAATTCTCCTTATACAAGTGCACTTATTTCTGAACTTAAAAATTAATCCTGTCACCCCTTTTACAAACAGAATTGACGAGAGAGAGAGAGACCTGAAACAGTTACCCTTAAAACCATGAACTGCTGCGGCGATGCGAGATGCTGGCAAAGAGCAGAATTCCCCTTCCCACAGTAATAATTCCTGCAGGGAAAGCATCTTATTTTATTTTTTCACCTAGATGTTTGTTTTTCTTCTCCAGGTACATTCCTAACGACAGATTTGAGAAACAGCGACAGCTGAACACCTGCATTCTTCTCAGCCTTTGCACCTTACTGCCTCAGTTTCCCTACTGATAATTAAAGCACATTTATATCAGGAACTGTTTTTCTAACTAGGAAAATTATCTCAGCATTTGATATTGATTTTCTTTTACTGAAAGATAGCTGTGATCTTCACATTTTGGATTCCATAGCAGAGAAAGTGCTGGTGGAAGATACTGGCCTGTAAGCACCTACCACTGGTCCTCCATCTGTGGGGCTGTGGGCATTGCTAGTTCAAACAGTCAGTTCATCTGGAGGAAAAATATTTAACTTGGGGTATATGGGGCTTCAGAGGCAGAAGGGCACACCCTAAGAAAGTGCCCTGCTGGTCATTTAATCCCTGCTTTCTTCACTATGTGGTGCACATTGGCTGGCTCAGGAGGTGTGCCCTGCTCCTCCAGTGCTGTGATGTGACCAGCAACCCCCAGAGATCGGTGGCTCTGCAGCTGCATGTCCTGCCTTCTGAACTCTGAGTCCTGGGAGGGAACTGGAAGAGCCCCCCGGTTTTAACTGCACCAGCCACCCCTACCTACCTTAAAGCCCCAAACCACGAGGGGCAGTTGGTTACACAGCATGGTAGGGTGCAAGCTATTAGCCCCAAGTGTTTCCAGATTCCATTTGGTGCACAGCACAAGCCCTTTCCAACACAATATCTGAACTGAAGCTCATCAGCAGTGCCCAGGTTCAGATCCTGACCCAGCCTGCACTGCAGCCCCTCTGCTGAACTAACCTGAGATGAAAGGCGTCAAATGACAGGATAGAGAGTGCTGAGAGCTGGCAGCGGAGGTTTCTTCTGCAGACATCTTGCTGGTTGTTTTAAGGTCTTCTGCCTCTAAGTGGCACCATGCTGAGTGATTGAACACTTGCTAGAATCTGTTCTACCTTTTATTGCAATGATTTATTACAGAGCTCCCAGTTTCCAAACTCTGAACTTTCACAAACGCTGGCTGGATGTCAGAGCCCTTTTGTCAGAAACACCAGAGCCTTCTGGAGTGATGGTCCCGGTACTACAAAACCCCTTTGGAAAGCCACAGCTCTCGAACCAGCATGGGGAAAGACTGAACTTTCATTTTTAGAGAAGGCTCTCACATCCCCAGGATCTGCATCTGAGAGGTACTCAAAACACAGCCAAGAGAAGCTTTATTTGCTGTAAATTTCCAGAGGATTACACTGAATCATAGTCTTGCATAGTCCAGTTTACAGATTTGTATGTACTTAATATAATTAGGCTCAGATTATCTTTATGTAGCTTCTGCTCAGAGAGCAGGAAGTAATTTGGAAGGGGGACAGAGGGTGTCCCAGAATGGATGGGTCCAGTCTACGTCCACTACGAGACAGACAGACACACACACACTTGTTCTGAACATCCTGAAACTGCTTAAGCGAAGCGCTCCCCCCAGACCAGCTATGCAGTACTGGCAATGTTGTGCTGCTTAAAACAGAAGGAATTGATTTCTCTGTGCTCACAACACAATAGCATTCAGATATTCAAGCACCTATTATGAAATCTGACTTTCCTTTAGTACTTAGAAGTCCTCGCATATTTTGTGGCATTTAGGGCTGCCTTACTCTGCCTGAAAATACAGTGAGGTTTTCCTGTCCCTACATAATGAAACAAAATCCACACCCCAAACTCCTACAGCTCAAAACAACCAACCAGTGCAGCTCAGGAAAACTATGGATACTTTCGGAGAGGTAAAGAAATGTACATCATGAGAAAAGTTTTCCTGTATTTGAGAGAAGGTTGTCAAGATGGTAATATAGTACAGTGTGTAGTGAGGACTGGGAGATTTATGTGCCGATTCTGTGTATGATTTATTTTGATGAATTGTTTTTTATCAATATGTAAAAATCCAATAAATATAACTCCCTTTACAAAGGGTTGCTCCAGTCCCAGTGTTTCAGTGGACAGTTTTGGCAGAAAGTCAGGATGTGCATTAAAAACACACTTTTTGAGAAGTCTAATAAATAAAAGCTCTGAAATATGGTTTCCTACTGAGAAAGGCATTTTAAATCATTTTGATAAAGAACCTAAATTAGGCCTTAAAAGGAGGGGGAAGCTAGGTCCCTGCAACTAATTATTTATAGGTATTTTGAATATAAAAGTCCAGGAAAGCCTGCCTCCATCCCCCATTCTCTGCCACAATAAAGGGGAAAGAAAAAGCCATTCCCCTTCCACCTCCCACCCAAATTATAAGGCAGAAGTGTTAGAAAGGGGCCAAAGAAAACAAAATTAAAATAGGGAACAGAGAACCGACAAAAACAAGGAACTTCAGAAGTCCTGGAAAAAAAAAAAACCTGCACACTTTCTCCCCAAAGCAGCGATACCAGGAGGGGACAGGTCTTCCCTTCTCCTCCTCATTACTCAAGAGCAGTGGGCTGCTACTCACCCCAGTCCTCTGAAGAGGGAATATACTGATATTTGCTAAGCACCACAGGGAATGTTTTTAGAAGTGAATAAACATTTGAATAGCCCCATTCTCTCTGAAAGTCAAAGCAATTTAGAGATGGCATAGAAGTCAAAACTGCTGGGGATGTCGGCTTCTGAATCACTTAAATGCTTCTGGATATGTTAATCCAAAAACGTAGCTGACGTTTGGCATGTGTACAGCCACACATGGGCCCTGCCTTCAGGGGAGTTACAGCACAGCGACCTGCTACCCCCTGCAGCAGAACCAGTGGGGCTGAAGATGTGCTCTGTGCTTCAGTGGGAGAGTCTGTGGCTCCGCAGCAGCAATTGGCAGCGCCCTGGTTTGGATCTCAAGCCAAGCCCAGAAACTCAGGTGCAGTTCACAAAGCTCAAGGCTCTGAATGGGAAGGCTGACAAATGAGAGATTAATAAATGGAAGCACAGTGTGTGTGCTGGAGAGATTTCTGCTATGGTGGTTGTGCCTACCAGGCTTCCTACTGAACTTACTGCTATTCATCTTACAGACATCTAGAATTTCCCTCCCTGTTCTCAGCTTCACCTTGTACTCCCTTCTGCCTCCAGGCACGAGCTGCTCTTGTCCCTGCACAAGGGCCATTCATTCTCTGCTCCATCAGGAGCGCTTCCCTCTGAGTTTGGGTTCATCCCTCTCCTTAAATCTGACCTTCACATCTTCCTTCTCATTGCAGGGCTCAGTAAGGTGCACTACTGAAAGAGCCACTGCACTTGCTGAAGCAGGAGGCTGCTAGCACTAGGGAAGGAAAACACAAACCTCAGAAAATTAATAGAAGCATTTAAGAGTTGGAATTTAACAATGTGGGTCTGCATCTACCTTTGGCCTGCCTCTGTACTGTAGTTTCATAGGGCACAAGAGCGCCCTTTTGTTGACTGGGGCCAGTTACAAGTCTTCTAGCACCCTCCAAATGCAAGCAAGACGAGGCTGCCCAGACTTACAGACAGCTTGCAGCCCTGATGTGTGCACAGCCTGAACTTGCAGACAGTGCCCTCTCAGGTCAGAAAGAGCAGAAAAGCTCAGCCACACAGCACCAGTGCAGCACTTAGCTCCAAAGCTGACACAAATACATGGCCAAGTTTTCAAAATAACTGAGCAGTTTCAGGGCTTTGTTACCTGCAAACACATCAGCGGGAACTGCAGGACTCAGTTCTGAAAACCTGGGCTGGGATTACTCAAAAAACGGGCCAAGGGCTCCTCTGAAAATATCCTAAATGACCAAATGAGAAAGAGCAATGGATAGGATGGCAGCACAAAACCAGAAGGTGCCAGCTGCAATTGAAGACAAGATTTTGTCCCCAGTTCACAGCAGCTCTGAGATTTCTCTCAACCCACCAAAAAGGGAAAAGAGAAGTTCACAGATAGTCAAAATGTTAAAAAAATAAAAAATAAAAAAGCAAGCAAGAAAGAGAAAAGCAGAAATCTGAACTCAAACTGAGACTTAAGTAATAAAAAAAACCTGCCAAAAATGTTCATTTGTTTCAGGAAAACTTAAACACAGGCCTGTGTTAAAGTTTCATCTTCAACTTAACCAAAAAACATCAGCCATAATGATTCCTCCATCCGATTCAACATTAATATTCAGACAAATGTCAGAAGCTGTCATTTCCCAAGTGAAAGCAATCCACATTCATTTACAGCTGGAACACCTAAGGCCACACTGCTTCTGATGAACCAGTGGTAAATTTTAAGCTGAAATGAAAGAAAGAGGTAGAAGCTGATGCCTGAGTGCCTTCTGAAAAACATCAAAATGTATTTTCTTCTCAGTCCCTAAAAAAAGGATCTGATTATTTAGGGATCCTTTCCTCCTCACTTCATTATCATTAGCTTAGCAGCGCTGGGTTATCTAATTACTCAGCTAGAGCTGGAAACTGCATTTTCATGTAATAAGGTGTAAGAGGACTAGGCTGTCTAGCTTAGTAGTCAGTACTTGAAGAACAGCTGTAAAGAGTAGAGTCGGGAAGGCAGCAGCACAAGAGGAAATCCTCAGTAGAATTCAAGTGCTTTACATCTGTCATAAACATACTTCCAGATCAAATTAAAGGAATTTCTTTTAACTGTATTCACAGGCTCCAAACACTCCACACAACAAGCTGCCTGAGATCTTAGTCATTCTGAGAAATGAATCATTCCCCTTGTCATCTGGCTGTTCTCTGCTGACTGCTAATTCGCTGTATATTGATTTTAAGACTCTGTTAACACATTATATTTTTGTGTTAAGCCAGGAAAGCTTTTCTTGCTGAAAAATCACGTCCCATCCTTATTCCTCACAATATTCAGTTTTGTTCCTTCTCATTTATTTAGAATGACTGATCAACGCTGTTTAATCAGCTTTTAGTGGCTCTGTGAATTGTTCCATGCTATTGTAACCACCTACATGTTTTTCTACCAGCATTTAACATCACAACATGAGTTCTATGTTTTGGACTTCTGTGTTTGCCTACTAATGCAAAAACTTAGCAGAGCAAATGAACATTGAGGTAACACCCTGAGATTTTGGAATTCAACTGCTCAGAGAAATGACCTATCTAAAGGAAGAACTGAAAACACAGATCATAGGAACGACACCAGCATTTTTCCTCACTGATTTGAAACAGGTCAGGACTTCAAAAAATTCCTGTAAAAACCTGTGCTGTTACAGCTGGTGATTAAAATTTACAATGAATTAGATAATAAATATTTTGTTTGCTTCTTCTGAAATGTCATTAGCAGTGACGTCACTCACTGGGCTATTACAGAACTGCTGTTGGCAAAAACTGAAGTATAATACAGCAAAGCTTCATGTTTCAGATGCTTATAAAACTTAATCCCCTGAATAACACTACTAATTTGGGTCTACTTGTAAGCCTGAAGATTGTACATAAATATTTTTAGTATGTACTTAGACCACAACTTTGCCTTTATTGAACTGTTTCTAGCGGGTCTAAGATCTTTGTCACTTCAAAATAAAACACGTTGGTTACATTAAAGGTATTTAAACATTCAACAGATTTGCAGTTCCTTGCAAACATTTCTTTTCACGCTGATTTTCTAAAAACAGGGACCAAAAGCATGTCGTTCCATCACTGCTACAGAACCCTATGATTCTGTGACTCCCCACTCTACCCGTACTCTCACAGATCATTCTGGAAAAACCATTTCAGCGGTTCTCTGCCCTGCAGACTTTCACTACAGCAGGTGTTGGCTGCAAACTTCGGAGCTTTGTGCCTGGGACACTTTTCTCAGAGGAAATGCATCCAAGGACCTTGCCCTTTAAGCACACATTAACATCTTAAATACAAAGTTTTTCGGTAGCAAGAAATTCAAAGTGGGAGCTGAAGCTCTGCTGATCAGTACATCTGTGAAACAAGCACGGACTGGAGATTAGAACAGCCACAGAAGAACCATGCCACTAGCACAGAGAAAAGCGCAATTTAAATTCAAATGTATAATTATTAGAAACAGGGCATGTGTATTAGCTGTAAGATTACTCATGTTTCAAAAAACTCCCAGTACATGAAATACAGACACTTAACACAGCCTGGGGTGGAAGAAATCACACAGAAATGTGAAGGCAGAACGCGATACATGTGCTATGAGACATCTGAAAAACAAGTCTGAGTCCGTGATCATTACATGCCAAATACATCTGTGAGCTAAAGGAAGCTGTGCCACACTGGTAGGTTTGGGGAGATGCTTTTTTCATTTCACAGGAGCCTACACACTGGATGCAAAACATGTACTTTTAAGTATGCATGATGTACATGAAGTATATAAAAGAAGAAAATGGCCTTCATAATTTACCACTAATATGTCAAAGGAAGAACCATCCAACACGAAAATGGAGGAAGCTGCACAACCTACCCGATCTGTTTTTGTGTATGTTCCATGTAAATGGAAACACAAACCTATTAAAAGCAGTTTACTCAGTAATTCAGACTGAGGAATATGCTGAGGGGTACGTCACCCTTACCCTTAAACTGCAGTTTATTAAACATTTCATATCTGATACATGCAAGTAGAGTGGAGGACTAAATGAGAGGATCGCTTTGCTGCTAATCCTAACATTTCAGTTACTGTAAGGTTTTGTCCATTCAACACACCTTACAAATAACAGACAGAACTCTGCTTTCAATTACTGGGGTGCAACTGACTGAAGTCAGCAGATGTTGCACCTCAGGAGCTGTTAGAAGGACTGGATGCTGAAGAAAAGCCTGGGAGAAAAACTCTGAAGAGAAAGCTTCTGATGAAAAACTGATTTTCCAAATAAAGGGAAATTCTGTGACAAGCATGTTTCACAGGCAAAAATGAATTGTTATGAATCAGTTTTCTGTTGAAATCTTGAAACATTTAGTTTTCATTGTCTGAATTTTTTGGAGGAAATAAGTATAATCATTTGACACGCTGCTGGGAGATAGGGAAGGCAAATGAGAAGAAGGAAATCCACCATCTGTCAGAGAGTTCATTACAAATTATCAGTTCAAAGTTTGAAATGTTCAGTAAGAAGGATGAGATACAGGCAGGTACATGATTTTCAGCACAGCAACACGTGAGTGCTGCATGATGTGGGCATTCAGTGCTGCTGGGTTTGTTCCACAGTCACCAAGCAGAGCGTGTCTGGCAGCAACGCACTACAGAAGTGTCAGTGCTTGTTCAGAGAACAACGCACAAGAACAGAGCTCCAAAAACGGGTAGAAATTAAGCCTCCATAAATTTAGCAGTTTCCCAGGGTGTAAATGCAAGCAGGGATTTCAGGAAGCAGAGCGAGTGAAATAAGGCAGGTGCCTGTCCCTGAGCAGAGCAGTCTGGAGGTGGTTAGTTCACACCACAAGTGTTTTCAGCCCACTTTGCAGAGCTGGTCCAGGAGGAGCAGCACCGCACCTGGAAAAGGTGAGCGCTTCGGACACCACGGCACAGAACTGCCCTGAAGGTCAGCTTGGTGCTCTGGGCCATAAAGGAGAAATGTGAGGCTGTCTATAAACTTCACTTTCATGGGAAGTCCGGAGAGTCCCATGAAGTTGATAGGACTATTTTGAGGACCAAGAATCACTTGAATCAAATAAAAATTTCAGGGTTAGGCCATAAAGCATGCAAAATATATTGTATCATGAAATATGAGTCAACACCGCAATGATACAGACATTACTCATGTGTATGTTAGACATCTCTGTTACATGAACAAACCCTACCTTCTATTCTTGGGAAAGGTTATTGAAAACAGAACTCCTGCAGAGGATAGTTGGGGCTTGGCTCTGACAGCTCAGCTCCTTTCCACCTCAGAGATCTGCAAAGTTATTTGGGGCAGCTGCTGTTCTGTGACTGGGCTCCCACGTGGACTCACGGCGTGTCGGTGCGATGCACCTCAGCCATTGCAGATGCTGTGTGAGGGGGGCAAGTGCTCGGACTGCTCTGGTAGACAGGAGGAAGATGTGACAGAGCCCCAGGCCAGCCAGAAGTCATTGTGTGCAGGGAAATGGTACATTTACAGCTCTACTGGCCGAAGTTGGATGGGGAATTAAGAACGCTATGTGGACAACTCATCCTTGTTAGCTGCGTGTGGAGATTTCTGGGAGAAAAGATTTCTGTTAACTTCCATTCCTCTCATATCCAGAAGACACCAAGAACACAGCCCTTTTTAGGCACTATGCAGCACGTGTAAAATCCAAGTAGCCACCGCACAAAGCTCGCCTGCTATTTTAAGGCTGGCTACTGAAACAAGTGTGGGTTAGGCAGACTGTGAAAGAGAAGGAGGAAGGGAAGGAAAAGGGCTAAACAGCAGTAGGAAACATGGCTAGAGAGGACTATTTGTACAACTGATGGTTCTGAGCCGTTAGATTACACTGACAGTACATTAATCATATGTTACAGCCATATGCACACATAGTGATAAATTTATATTTATGTCTGCCTGTAAATGAAGATTAGATGCAAATTATGTAAAATATTGACAATGTTATATCACGTTAATAGGATAAATATATTAAATACTGTGCATATAAAAATATTTTTGCATTACACCATCAGAAGGAATTACAAAAATATGTATGTGGGAGATGAGCTTATGGCCTACACTAGCTCCAAAGATTGGGCACAAAATCCCAGATTGCCCACAGACTCCTGTAGTTTAGTAAAAGCTTCCCATTGGGTTCAGAGGATAGCTGCTAAGACCTGGATGCTGAAAGTCACTTGGGTCACTCTGCAGTGTACTTGCTCTTGAAAGACCCTCCCTTCACCACACTCACTTTGCCAAAAAAAAAACCAACCAACAACCCTGCAGCCCAGCTCTCTGTACTGAATTTAAGAGCCTTGCTTTGGTCTTGTCTGTTTTAGGTGCTGGCTGCCCACGAGCAGCAGCACGTCTCCCACTAACCCAG